TTGAGAGTCCCTTGGACTGTAAGGAGATCCAACCAGTCCATCCTAAAGGAAATCAGTCCTGAATGTTCATTGGAAGGACCGATGCTGAAGCTTCAACTCCAATATTTTGGCCACCTGATGCTGGGAAAGACTGAAGATGGGAGGAGAAGGGGACCACAGAGGATGAGATGGTTGGATAGCATCACCGACTCAATGGACATGAGTTTGGGCAAGCTCCAGGAGCTGGTAATGAACAGGGAAGCCTGGCATGCTTCAATCTATGGGGTCGCAAAGAGTCGGACTCAACTGAGCAACTGAACTGAAGTGAACTGAACTTTGCATTGATCAATGCAAAGAAATAGAGGAGAACAATAGAATGGGAAAGACTAGAGATCTCTTCAAGAAAATTAGAGATACCAACGGAACATTTAATTCCAAGATGGCCACAATAAACGATGGAAATGGTATGGACCTAACAGAAGCCAAGAATACACAGAAGAACTGTACAAAAAAGATCTTACTAATCCAGATAACCACAATGGGGTGATCACTCACCTAGAGCCAAACATCCTGGAATGTGAAGTCAAGTGGGCCTTAGGAAGCATCACCATGAACAAACCTAGTGGAGGTGATGGAATTCCAGCTGAGCTATTTCAAATTCTAAAAGATGATGCTGTGAAAGTGCTGCAATCAGTGTGGCAACAAATTTGGAAAACTCAGCAGTGGCCACAGGACTGGAAAAGGTCAGTTTTCATTCCAATCCCAAAGAAAGGCAATGCCAAAGAATGTTCAAAGTAGCACGCAATTAAACCCATCTCAAACACTAGCGGAGTAATGCTCAAAATTCTCCAAGCCAGGCTTCAACAGAATGTGAACCGAGAACTTTCAGATGTTCAAACTAGATTTAGGAAAGGTAGAGGAACCAGAGATCAAATTGTCAACATCCATTGGATCATAGAAAAAGCAAGAGAATTTCAGAAAAACATCTATTTCTGTTTTATTGACTACACTAAAGCCTTTGTGTGGATCACAACAAACTGTGGAAAATTCTTAGAGATGGGTATAGCAGACACTTTACGTGCCTCCTGAGAAAACCTGTATGCAAGTCAAGAAACAACATTTACAAATGGACATGGAACAACAGACTGGTTCCAAATTGGGAAAGTAGTACATCAAGGCTGAATATTGTCACCCTACTTATTTAACTTATATGTAGAGTATGTCATGAGAAACGCTGGGCTGGATGAAGCATGAACTCGAATCAAGATTGCCGGGAGAAATAGCAATAACCTCAGATATGCAGGTGACACCACCCTTATGGGAGAAAGTGAAGAGGACCTAAAGAGCTTCTTGATGAGAGTGAAAGAGAAGAGTGGAAAAGTTGGCTTAAAACTCAGCATTCAAAAAACTAAGATAAGGGCATCTGGTCCCATCACTTCGTGGAAAATAGATGGAGAAGCTGTGACAGATTTTATTTTCTTGGGCTCCAAAATCACTGCAGATGGTGATTGTAGCCATGAAATTAAAAGATGCTTGCTCCTTGGAAGAAAAGCTATGACAAACTTGGACAGCACATTAAAAAGCAGAGACATTACTTTTATCAACAAAAGCCCATCTAGTCAAAGCTATGATTTTTTCTAGTAGTTATGTGTGGACGTGAGAGTTGGACCATAAAGAAAGCTGAATGCCGAAGAATTGATGGTTTTGAACTGTGGTGTTGGAGAAGACTCTTGAGAGTCCCTTGGACAGTTGGATTTCATCACTGACTTGATGGATATGTGTTTGAGCAAGCTCCAGGAGTTGGTGATGGACAGGGAAGCCTGGAGTGCTGCAGTCCATGGATTTGCAAGTGAGCAAACCAGTCAGTCCTAAAGGAAATCAATCCAGAATATTCATTGGAAGGAGTGATGCTGAAGCTGAAGCTCCATACTTTGGCCACCTGATACAAAGAACTGACTCACTAGAAAAGACCTTGATGCTGGGAATGATTGAAGGCGGGAAGAGAAGGGAACCACAGAGGATGAGATGGTTGGATGGCATCACCGACTCGATGGACATGCGTTTGAGTAAGCTCCGGGAGTTGGTGATGGACAGGGAGGTCTGGCGTGCTGCGATTCATGGGGTCACAAAGAGTCGGACACGACTGAGTGACTGAACTGAACTGAACATGGTGTTAAAGACGTAATTTCCATGTGTCTAATTCAGTCTAAAGATGGAGATGGGGTCATTCTGGAGAATTATCTAGAGAAGGTACCTGGATCTTAATAAGAAAAGTGTTTTTTTGTTGTTGTTTTCAGTCAAGAGAAGAGCATATGAAAGACATGTTACCAGAGGAAAACATGCCCTGTTACAGACCCACAGTCTGTGGGGAGTGCAAACCGTGTTTGTTTTAAAGTCACTTGTCACCTTGTAAGATGAAAGTGGGCCGTGGTTGATGTCAGAGATAGAAGATACAGAGAAAACAAGTAAATGAGATCCCCAGAAGCCACTAGGAGTGTGAGGTGGCGGTAGGGAATCCATTTTTTGAGCCTGGAAGAAAAGTTGTAAGTATGAATGAAGATGGCTTTGTGGGCGCAGCCCAGGGTGACAGGGGGAACTAGAAAAGCATAGATTGTAAGCTGTTGACCACTAGTGTCCTGATCTAAATGGGGGGAGCTAGAAAAAGCAAGAGCACGTGAGTGACCGGGGGCTTGAGTGAGTGTGCCAGATTTGGAGTAGTAATCATAAGAATGGGAGAAAAAGTAACCAAGAACCACCACCCCCAAAAAAACACAAAAAAACAGTAAGTGGTACTAGAGGCCTAGCCAAGACCAGAGAATTAAATTATGATAATCTGGATAGCTGTATGGTTTTTCTCTTAGCATTTCTTAGCAGTCTCAGTATAGAAATGACACAGGCATATTTTTAGTATTGATTCATTGTTGGAATTTGCTGTGGTGAAACAAAATTTGTGTGTACATTGGGAGTCTTAAAGTTACGCATGTGTATTTACAATGATCCGTTCAGGGCTTCCCTGGTGGTTCAGTGGTTGGGGGTCCACCTGCCAGTTCAGGGAGCACAGATTCTCGACCCCTGACTTGGGAGGAGGTCTCAGGGTGGCCGGGCCTGGTGCGCCAGCTGCCGACGCCTGCACGCTCGAGCTGCGCTCTGCGGCAGGAGGGGCCACCGCAGCCAGGAGGCTCCCTCACGCTGCACAGCTAGAGAAAGCCCACACACGACAGGGAAGACCCAGCCAGGAATAAATAAATTAAAATTTTTTTAAGGAATAAATAAAATGATCAGGCCCGAGTTCAAGCTTGTAGGGAAAAAGAACCAGTAAACTGGAATAGCAAGAGTTCTACCTCTTACTGGGTGGAGAGAAAATATATGGTCCCAGAAAGCAGGATGAGTATGTATAAGATTTCTGGGAAGGAGCTTTCTATACCAGTTTAGGATGTGACGGGGGCACTGCTGATTGAAATACAGTAGTGAACGGTATTGTTGCGATGTAGAGGTCCAGGGATTTCAACTTTAGATTACTGTATAGATCTTGTTCATGGGTGTTGACAGTTCTCGAGTGGTAAAGTGCAGTTTCAATGAAGTGAAACACTGGTCATTGTCCCAAACGTGACAGGCAGGTTTGGTTTTGAATAGCAAGGTCTTGGCTGTACAAGTGGATGATTTTGAGGTATGTGGGGATAAAGATCATTGGAATCCAGAAATTTACAGAGCTCTCATGCTGAATAAATCATCTGCATAATGTATAAGTAATAAGATACTGTGGCATGTCTTATGACTAATATTGGAATAGTAATGAACATTTTTAAGAAACTTAACAACTGGAGTATGCTATGAAAATGTTTTCTACTGATGAAAAATCGGAGGTATAGTAAATACTACTGTTCGTTGCCTAACATAATTGAAGAAAATGCTAACTTTCAGTTACAGTTTAATGAAAATAAAGATGTAACTTTTCTCTCCATCGAAGTTCATAGACCCTCTGCATTCCATCATGACTTTCTGGCTAAGAAACCATTTAAAGGATGGTTTATCTAGAAGGCAGAAACCTGAGTAAAAAGTGGTTGTTGCAAAGTATAGAAATGTTGGTGCAGAGCTCAGAGAAAATCTCCACGGCCTCTGGACCCTGTGGTGCTCTGGGAGTGAGGGTCTTGGAGGTGTGTGTGCCTCTGTGAGTAGGCCAGCCCACTTGCAAGAAGTGGGGTAGGGTCCTTTGTGATAGAAAGCCATGTTTCAAGGCAGACCAAAACTGTCAAGGAGAAGATGTCGATGAGAGCTTCAGAGGCACAGTGGAAATCCTCAGGAAAGGGTACAGTGAATGGACGAAACGGTGAGGAAAGGACAAGCTGGTAATGAAGGTGTAGAAGTTGGCCAGAGTGAAGTGAACTCGCCTTGAAGCCCTGGGCAGATAAAAAGCTGAGACCTAGAATGTTTGAAAGCATGTTGGGACAGGTGTTCTGAAACAATCAGTAGTAAGGGCCAAAGCTTTTGCTCAGTTTCCAGGTGGTATCCTGCTGAGAAACTGTTGGATACCCCTGAAGATATCAGTAGCTCAAGACTGAAAAACCTGAAGTCAGATTGAGTCAGTTGATACCAAACAGTGCAGAAAGGCAATGAGGTGTGTGGGTGTCTTGGTAAATCACCAAATTTTGTTCTTTTGACCTTATTTTTATTACTGGTACCAAATACATAAAACCATATGAGGGTTGGTCAGACTTGCCACCCTACTCTAAAGGAGGGATTTAGGCATGTCTGACAAAATAAAGAAAATAACAAGAGAAAACTAAGTATTTGTTGGGGGATTAATAAGCCTAGATAAACTTTCAGTTGATATAATTTAATGTTCAGTGACTTGAAATGGAGAGAAGAACCTTGGTCCTTCTGACTGGTCAACTCAGTAACTTTTGGATGTTAATACTTAAGCTTTATATGCACAGGGTTATTACTTAATGATAAATTTGTTAATTAGTAGATTGATTCTGTTTGTTTGTGTTGATTTTTTTTTTTTAATTTTTTTTTTTTAGGAATTAGCTCTCCGTAGCCAGTTACCAACACTGGAGCAGGATGGTGGGACTCAAAATCCAGTATCTTCTCCTGGGATGTCTCAGGAATTGAGAACCATGACGACCAATAGCTCAGATCCCTTTCTTAACAGGTTGGTAAGAGTTGCTGCTGGCCAACACCTGAAAAAAATCCCAGCTTACGGTGTTCTCCTTAGTGCTTCTATATAATAAGCTATTTGAACATCCATGTGGGCTGAGAACCATGGCTGTAAATGAATCTCTCCATAAACGGCTCATACGATAAAGCTTGAGGATTAGACGCTGGCTGCTGTGAGAGGAAGTGAGCTGTTCAGACTTGTAGAGGGGATACTTACTCAAGAGTCACGTGTTTGCTTGTGCCTGTGCTGTTGACTAACAGTTACTTGCAGAATCGTGAAGGAACATGTGAATGCCTTTCTATGAAAGCAGAAAGGAAAAAAAGCATCTTAAACCTGCTTAGGGCAGCATTATAAGGATCTTTGGAAGGAATTTTCCACGTAAGTGTTCAACCTAAGAAGTTTCACTACAGGAGCACTGTAAGGCCTCATATTCTTAAGGGCTATAGGTCAAAGAGATAAAAAGTAAGGTTGTGTCTTTTTCAAATAATGTGTTAACATTAAAGAGTATTCAAAAATAGCAGAGTTAAGGATGATTTTTAGTGAATTACCAGAAATTTGGATTTCAGGCATATTGCAAAGATGTTGTATATAGTGCTGTGTTGAAAACTGCAAGCTGAGACAGATCATCTTCTTTGCCTAGAAAGGCATTTAAAACTAAGACTTAACTACAATTCTTTCTTGTAGATTGTCAAATATTTATTCAGTTTCAATTTTTAAAATAAGGAACAAATGCTTTCTGGTCTTTGCTTTTGTTTTTAATCAGTTTTAGACAGTGCACTTTTAAGAATATTAAAAGGTATATTGACTTAGGAAGATTATTATGCTACCCTTTCAGTTCTTACAAGTTGAATTGAAAACATCCAGATCCTAAGAAAAAAAGATACCTTGTCATACCAAAATGTTTAGTACAATAAACTTGCTGTCTCTTAAGATTAGTGCTGGTGCCCTGATTGACTGGTTTGGTTTCAAAGGCCATCTAAGAAGAAATCAAAAGAGAAATGAAAAAAGTCCTGGAAACAAATGACATTGAAAACAGGACAACTCAAAGGCCATCTAAAATGTATTTAAGTTTTGTATTTACTCTCTGACACATGCAGTTTAAAGTTCTGCCAATAATTGAGTGTATTTATAGAAGATTATAATTCTGAGGTTAATTAGGAAAAGTCATAGCCACAGACCTTTTTTCCCCCCACAGAGGATTTCAGATCAGTGTAATTCCAGTACCCATGTTGTTGAAGGCCTGTGTTTATTGGTCCAGGGATAAAATGAGACCATCTAGAAAAAAGGGATGTAGACTGCATATCCTCCTGGTAGTCGTTTGTGCAGATTCTTAGAACTGTTGATAAAAACTAAGCTACAGTTTAAGATTCTGTTTTCTGGTAAAGAACACAGAGTGAATTATCCCCAAAGATGCTAGTCTCAGGGCAGAATCCCATGTCTCTTGTCTGTAGCACCCCAGTTTCTAAAACACACATCTGACTCTCGCATTTTTCTTTTCAGAGGCTTTGGATGGTTTTCCCCACTGCCTGTGTGTAATTGATGCATATTCCTTAAACTCTAAGCACCTGTTCCCCTGACTTGCCATGGAGTTGCCTCAGTGGTGGTGGTACATTCTCTCGTCTCCCTTTTACTCAGGTGTCTCAGGGCCAACTCCGGCGTCCCCTCCGTTAAACCTTTCCCCTGTACTTTGAAAGTTTTCTCCTCTGTTCTGAACCTTGTACATGTATTTGTTCACCTCCTTCCCTGAAATGGTGAGCCTCTCAGAAAGCATCAGTTGTGGGCTGTTGTTGTTAACCTCTGATTCCTCACCCTTGTCTCTCCCCTGTCACATAGTAGCGGATGCTCAGTGCCTGTCAGTGAAGGGAGGCGGGGGCTGCAGGGAGCAGTTCCCAGTCAGGGAAATGGCCTTGTGAACCCTGTCCTCAGGAATGCCCATGCGCTTCCCCTGAGGCCTGGAAAGAACTCTGAACAACTCTGTAAATCCAGCCATTCTGTAACAGTCTTGAGTGTCTTGATATGTGCCCCGTGGTGAGCAGTGGGAATAGTGATGACTAGGACCAGACCCTTGTCCCAGATCGAGTCAGGCAAAATAAAAACAAACCACATCCTGAGGGCTTCTCCCAAGTGGCTGCACTGTGCACAAATGGTCTCAGAGGCAAATTTGTGTTTTCTTGGATCTGTGTGAGGCTTTCGAACCTTGCCAAAATCTGACAGAAGCATTAAACTAGTGGTTGCAATATACAGTGTGAAAGAGAGGGGGAACAAGGCAAGTGCATTGAGTAATGTAGGAAAGAAGTTTAGGGGCTTGAGCTCTCAACCTTGAGCAACTGTGAAAGCTCGTTTTTAAAGCTTAGTTATTTTTTGTTTAATTTTTGTGTAAACTGAACAGCTCTTCAAACGTCCAAGCTGTGAGGAAAGTTAAGTTCACACTGCAGTAAGAGACTGTTAAGAATTACAGTTGCCTTTATTTCACACTTTGCTGTAAGATTTTCTAGAATTAGTGGAACCCCCAGTTTTACTGTCGATGCCAGCTGGTGTCTACGTGTTACTAGGTTAGGGAAGTGTTCTGTTTATGAAGGCAATGTTCTGAGGATATTTACCATACTTGTATGTAAATCTGTGATACTTTTTATTCAGCCTAAAATAAGAATCTGTCTTGGCTCTGTTTTTCTGTTTTTCTCAAGCTGTGTGCCTTGCAGGGTTGTTTTGGGTTTTGTTCTTCATCAGTTCCTTCAGTTGGAACTCTCAGGACTCCTATTTCATGCTGAGGTGTGTGTTCGGGGTTCCCCCCACTCTCCTGAACACAAGCAAGGAGATCAAGCTAGTGAGTTCTGTTCTTGTCAGCAGTTACTCATCTGTTTTGGCCCAGTCCAAAAAGAAATTCTGGTTCTTTATTTAGGGTTGATTTTTCTGGCTTAAGCCAGAGGAATTCAGCAGGAACCTAGTGCAGGCCTGTCTTAGTACCACCTGGAAGCAGAGTTTTGACCCGTGCCTGTGACCACTGCCACTTGGGGCATGGAGACCTTGAGACAGATGAGCAGTGTGGAGCCCCCCAGTTCAAATGGCCTTACACCAAGAGTTTCCTGTCACTCAGGAAAGCCGTGTGTATCTTGCTTTTCCCTTATGACCACAAAACCTTAGGAGAAATTTTGGCCCCCTGAGGTTGCCAGTCTGAATTAGGATCAACTTGTCCATTTCGCTTCACAGCACAGGAGCTTGGTCCGGGCCCTGAAGGAGGGCGCCTGTTTCAAATGCCGCAGGGCAGGAGTCTTCGCTAATCCTCCGGGAATCATGTTGGTACTGAGCAAGCGTTTATGTGTTCACCTTGAATCTTTTCTTACGTGTGTTGCGTTGGTCTGTGACCCTCATTCTTCGTAGTGGCACCTACCACTCTCGCGACGAGAGCACAGACAGCGGACTAAGCATGAGCAGCTACAGCGTCCCTCGGACCCCCGACGACTTCCTGAACAGTGTTGATGAGATGGATACAGGTTGGTACTTTTTGTTGCTCTTGGCAATCTAGCTTTCCGTCAGATACAGTCATTGCTTTGCCGGCTCTGATGAAGTATAGTGAGCCAAGAGCATCCGGAAGAAAACCAGTTAAGAGCCTGTAAACTTCCTTGGCTCTGCTTTGTTTTGTTTCTTTTTAAATAGCATCTTGTAAAAGTCTCTTCCGACTTTTTAAATGTCACGATGTCTTATCTCTATTTGACATGACTTATTTTAGCATTTAAAATATTGAGTTAATTTAAAATAGTGAGCTAATGGGCAGGGCAGTTGAGGACCATAGTAGAAGTCTCTGTTACGTGGATATTCATTCTTAATTTTGGAGCGAGAGCTCTGCATTTGATTTATATGTCTCTCTGTGTATGTGATTCTCCGTCTGCTTTCCTCTTTTTGTGACGGTCATTTGTCCAACTTAGGTGATACGGGGCTTAGGTTGGCAGGTTGGAAAGGCTCGGTGGTGGCCTTACCTCCTTTGTTTGAAGAGTTGCAGGAGCTTGAAAACCTGCCCCCTGGGGTGGTGATAGAACCCTTGCTCCCGTGGCTTACCGTTTGACCTGGACTTGGCGGCTGTCAGTGGGCACGAGCTGGCTGGGCAGTGAAGCGGCTCTCCGGCTAGCTGGCCACTTCTGGGAGCGTTTGGCGGGGCTTCTGTGCCGCTGTGCATCCAGCCCATGGCTCCGGTGTCCCTGGGAATCCACACCACCCTCTCCTCATCTGGATCTTAAATCATCTGTACAAGTCACCTCAATGCCATCTCATTCGCAACACCTTTCCTTACTCCTCTCTCCCCAGTTTCTCCCTTCTCGCTAAACTTTTATAACAATTAATGGATTGTGTTAGTTTTTCTGAAAGCATATTCCATTGAAGTGTTCAGGAATGTTAACATCGTCATGGGCAAAAAAAAGGTTCTTGGCCAGGTAAGTTTGGGAGACCCGTAAGCAAAGCTAGGAAGACTTACTTTTCCAAGGGCTTCCGGGAGGCGTGGCTCTACTGTTGTGAATGTGAATCTCCCAAGAGTGGGATAGAGTTTCATGCAGCCTTTTTATTTTATTCTGTTCCATGGTGTGTACTTACGAGAAAGACAGGTACGCACCATTCATCTTTATATTTTATCTTATTCTGGTGGTGCATGCCTGGCACAGAGTCAAGTCCTGATGCTGTTGTGTCATACCTGTTCTTTCTCTCTCGCTGTATATAATTTTTCAACAAATTTTTTTTCAGGACCCCCATCAGTGCTTAGCACCTAGTAATAAGCGGTCAGGCTTGTTCAGTATCTGAACAGATGAAACAGAAGGAAACTTGGCGTTGTTACTTTGCCATCTGTGGGTTGTTTGGCCTAAAGTAAACTGTGGGCATCAGTGGAGGAAGTCCATCCGAAATGCGTTTCTTTCCCTGTGTGTGTGGACCTACCTCTATGCTCACATGATGTCGGCTTTTCGAAAAGGACCTGTTTTCTTTGTGTCTCTCTCTGGTCCCTCTAGGTGACACTATCAACCAAAGCACCCTGCCCTCCCAGCAGAACCGTTTCCCAGACTATCTTGAAGCCATTCCTGGGACAAACGTGGACCTCGGAACCCTGGAGGGAGATGGGATGAACATAGAAGGGGAGGAGCTGATGCCTAGCCTGCAAGAAGCTTTGAGCTCCGACATCCTCAACGACATGGAGTCTGTTTTGGCTGCCACCAAGCTAGATAAAGAAAGCTTTCTTACATGGTTATAGAGCCCTCAGGTAGACTGAATTCTAAATCTGTGAAGGATCTAAGGAGATTAAGACCTATACCTGAAATTTCCAGTTAAGCCAGGGGCAGTCTTCTGGCTAATACAGAAAAAGATGAACAAACGTCCAGCAGGATTCTTTCATCCACTATTTTGCTCTTCCTTGTCCATTGCTGCTGTTAATATATTGCTGACCTCTTCCATAGTTGGCTCTAAGGAATCAAAAAAACTGTTTTGTTTCTTTTGCTATTATAACTACTGTTTGTTTTGGGGGCTGGGGGAAGTGAGCCTGTTTGGATGATGGATGCCATTCCTTTTGCCCAGTTAGATGTTCACCAATCATTTTAACTGAACACTCAGACTTGGAAGTCAAATGCTTCATGTCATAGCATTTAGTTTGTTCAAGCAGTTTTTCTTCAGCTGCCTTTGGCCAGTGGAAAAACATGACTTACTGGTCTAACAAGCCAAAAATGTTGTATCTGATGTTTAGTACTTAGACTGATTTGAAAAGCTAGCTGAAACCAAGGCTGAAGACTGTTTTATTTTCAGTGGTTTTTTTTTTCCTCCTAGTGCTATCATTAGTCACATAGTGACCTTGATTTTATTTTAGGAGCTTATAAGGCTTGAGATAATTTCCATAGAAATATATTAATTATTGCCACATACTCTAGTATAGATTTTGATGGGGTTTATTGTGGGGTTTTTTTTTTTGTCTTCATTGGAATTTTTATTGTCTTAGGGGTTTTTCCTTTTTTCCTCAGAATCTAGGCGAATTACCATTGTAGTGCATCTGTTTATACTTCTAGCTTGGGACAGTTATTATAGTTCCTTTGGTAAATCTACATGTCCTGGTTTTTTTTTTACCATCTTATTTAAATCTTGGTAATCAGCTCTCTTTATATATACCCACACACACACTTATAATGTCTATAATAGTGTGATAGCAGAATGTATCTTTTTTTTTTTTTTGAGTTTTCCCTATTTTCCAATTTATTTTAAAACGGTAGCTATGAATGTATGCATTTAGAATACAAGACTAGTAGTTTATATTTCACAAGTAGTTTAAATCCGGTTGGGGTAGTGTGCAGTGATGGTGGTGGTTTAGTGTTCTAGAAAGGGCTGTTCTTACAGATGGTGCCTCGAGGAGTCCTGTATGCCCTCTGGGCACACAGTGGATATTATCTGCTGAATTTGAAAGAAGTAAACAAGAAATGGCTTTATTATCCCCTTTAACTTTGGAAGATTACCTTCGCCTTAGTTTTGGAAGTAAAATCTAGTAGTTTAGTTCCCTTTTATAATGAACACATTAAAGACTACATTGAAATATTGCCTACGAAATTGTTTTTACTTATAAAACTTGCTCCTACTTTTATATGCTGAGAATTTACCCTGGATAGTATATGGGATACTCTAAGGTCATAAGTTAGCTGGTAAAGTGATCAGATTAATGTATATTACTAGTTGATTTTAGCAAAGAAATAGAGATAATCATGATTATACTTTTATTTTTACTGGAAGAGATATAACTAGAGTATGTGTCTACAGGAATAATAATGTTTTCCAAAGAGTATTTTTAAAGGAACAAAATGAGCATGAATCAACCCTTCAATATAAGCTATGAAGTTAATACTTGCTTGTGAATTATAGTGGCATCAACTAGCACCTCTGTGATTAAGGGTCTTTCAATGTTTATAGAATAAGCCCTTATTTTCAAGGGTTTATAAGACATAAAATCTCTCTTTTCCTGGCTAAAACTGCTATGAAAAGCCTCAGCTTAGGAAAACAGGTGGGGTTTTTTATCTGATTACAAAATATAAGTATTTTGACCCTTCAGTTTAGAGGATTGCAAAAGTTGGAAGTAAAGTTTTACACTAGGTAATTTCAGTGCTCAAAATGCAGTCATGTTATATATATTGATTCATAGGCCAGTCATGCATAATAATTGACTCTAAGGCTATTATTAAAACAGCAGAAAGATTAAATCTTGAATTAAGTCTGGGGGGAAATGGCCACTGTGCAGATAGATGTATTGATTTTTTTTTTTAAGAGGAATAATGAAATTCTGGCTAGAACGCATATTTGAGTTTATGGATGGATGATACAGCATGTTGGCTTTTTTATATGCAGAAGATCAAAGCTACTTAGAAGGAGTGCCTACAATTTGCCATTAAGCCACAAATTAAGATCTCATCTTATATATCAGCAGAGTAGCTTTAGATTAAGGGAGAGGGTGGGAAAATGGGAGGGGGGTTGTGAAGATTTAGTGGGACCTTGATAGAGAACTTTATAAGCTTCTTTTTCTTCAATAAAAACTTGTCTATTATTGCTGTCATTAAAGGCAGTTGTTCCTAAAATTTCAGTCACTTAAGTACACCCACAAAACAAAAATATGGAGTTCTTCATTCCCCCTCAACTTGGATTTACCCAGTTATACCTCAGTGTTGTAGCAGCACCATGGTGCCTGAAAGACATGGTGCTTTGACCTAATTATACCCATTGTACTGACCTGAAGGAGACCTAAGCCTTTCTCTTTCTGAGTTTGAATCACAGCCTTGATGTGGTCTTTCTTGTTTTTTGTCCTTGTTCCTAATGTAAAAGTGTTTAACTGCTTCTTGGTTGTATTGGGTGGCATTGGAATAAGATTTTAACTGGGTATTCTTGAATTGCTTTTACAATAAACCAATTTTATAATCTTTAAATTTATCAGCTTTTTACATTGTGTTCTTTTTAGTTAGGGCTTATTAGATCTACTTATGGTTGATGGAGCATATTGATTGGTAGTTTCAGATTTTCCAGAGCACTATTTGTTATAATAACCAATTTCTAAACAATAGTGCTTTAAAAAAAAATTAGAAAGTTAACTTTTATACAAATGGTGTTGCTGTTTTAAGTATTCATACTAAATAGATGCATTTTATATGGAACCTTGGCAGAAACACTAAAATTTTTAAAATAAAACTAATTGTGTAATTCATAATTTATACTAATCAGTGTTGAAACTCAAACAGTGCAAAAGTGGGAGGCAATATCCAGTGATTTACAGTTTTATAGCTTCTTCGCATCTGAGAAATGAATGCTCAGATCAATTTTATCTTCCATAAGCATGTTTTTATAAGAATTGTGGGTGTGCCTATCTTAACAGTTGTTTTCTGTGTCTTGGCAAAATATTCTCCACATTTTAAATGTTTTATATTAGAGAATTCTTTAATGCACACTTGTCAAATATATATATATAGTACCAATGTTACCTTTTTATTTTTTGTTTTAGATGTAAGAGCATGCTCATATGTTAGGTACTTACATAAATTGTTACATTATTTTTCTTATGTAATACCTTTTTGTTTGTTTATATGGTTCAAATATATTCTTTCTTTAAACTCTTCTTTGTTGTTTTTAACCATTAATATACTTAAAACTTTTTTGACTTTTTAATGGGTCTTCCAGTAGAACAAGTGCAAGTAATAAAAAGTGATTATAGTGGTAACTAACTGGCAGACAGGTTAAACTTAAGGTTGGTCTGGCATTTGGAACTTTTGTAGTGTGGATATAATTCTTTGAACTTTATGTTCTGTACTCTTCATGTAAACCATCCTCAGTGATAAAAGTGTGTAAGCAGAACTATATCCCCTTCAGTCTTAAGTGATTTTACTACATGTGTTAATAGCAGCACAGAAGAAAATAGTGTTTCTTTCAAAACAGGCTTTGGTTTTATATCTCCAAAATGGAATACTTAATGTGCTATGCTAAGTCACTTCAGTCTTGTCAAAGTCTTTGCAACCCTGTGAACCATAGCCCACCAGGCTCCTCTGTCCGTGGGAATCTCCAGGCAAGAATACTAGGGTGGGTTGCATGCCCTCCTTCAGGATATCTTTGCAACCCAGAATTATTGACGTGGTTTTGGTGAGGCAAGTCTGAAAACAGTGTTTTATTATGTATAATTCCTTTATGATAGTAAAACATTTTGTGGAACTTGAAATTGATTATTCCCCTTATGCAAAATGCACAACCCCTACTGGCTGTACATTTTAACACAAAACCATACTGTGTGTCTGTAGACACTGCCCCTCTTACTAGGGAGCTACTCTTAAGATGTGGTACGCTTTACATTGGATGGCTTGCAGTCCTTCTGGAGTCTGTGAACCAGAATTGTACAGCCTTCAGGTAACTGATGTAGTCAGTCTGAGTCAGTAAGATTCTCAGAGGAATATATTAATGTGGATTTGGGAAAAACAGCCTCTAAAGAGAATAAGGACTAGTAATGGGAAGTGGTGAGCAGACCAGTGAGTCTGCTGATTTCCATCCTGTCGGCTGAGGTTGTAAAGGAAGAACAGTGTCAGGGACCCCATCACATGTTCTCTCCTTCTGTAATGACAGCTGGGCCATCCCTGGTCCTGGCAGCCATCACTTAGACCGAAAATCTGGCTTTATGTGGTATTTAAGGTAAATCCATGTACTGCTCTCTTGGGCTCCAGGGTTGCACGCACACTGGGCTTCTGGAATCAACCTTATCTCTGGCAGGGTGACTTGTCCCTATCCTGCTTTAAACTGTTGCCATTTAATTTCTCTATTTAAATAGTTCTGAAAACTTTCATTAACAATCCTCTTCAATTAAAAATTTTCTGAGTTAATATCAGATGAGAATTCTGTGACATATAGTGCTGCAGTTATTCCAAATCAAACATGAAATGTTTTTTGTCATATCATCTGGATACAAAAAGCTCTGATAAAAGTGAAATTAATCATTTTCTAACCATAAACATAGCCTTAAACTGGCAAACGTAATACTGCCACAAATGAAAACAGTTGCAGAATCAAGGCACTAGCAAAATGAGGTAATGTTTAAAAGATACTGTGAATTTTTTAACCTGTCATATTTTAACCACAAACAAACTCCTGAATCAGGTGACTTGACATCTAAACTGAGAGGACTCTGTTAGAAGTTGAAGACAAAATGAGACAAAACTGGATCGGTGTGTTGCTGATTGGAGATGTCTGAGTGAACAG